TCCTTTACTGTATCTAAAACAGCCTGTAGATTCATCTAGACAACCAACTTGACCACCTCAAAAAAATTTGAAATCTTCCTTAAAATGTTAAGGAAGTTTGTCAGTAAATTGTGTCCCACTGTATTCCCTTTTACTTGGCTACTATAATAAATTGTTCTAAAGACTGAGTTAGACAAAAACAAACTTAGCTACCAGAAAGGAACTGATCTGTTTCTGTGGATAGATTTTATTCTATCAGATTATTCAACCTCTCACTTGCAAATGTCATGACCACTGAATCTAGGACAGGTTGAGTACGAAGTAATCTATTTCCTTAAATGCGATCTGATATTTGTGGTAGTCACTGGTGTACATCTTTAGCCAGATCCAAAAATAAAAAATAAAAAATAAATAAAATAAAATAAAATAATTGACAAGACAACAAGAACTGGAGATAATAGATACGGAATAACAAGTTTTATGATAGTATTTAAAGCAGCTCTAGAGGAATTTCAAGAGTCTGCCATCCTCCTCAGAGTATGCTCTGAAGATACCTACAGATAGGGGACATGGAAAAACAGCCTTATCTGACAAGGAGGATAAAAAGCTAAGGATGCTGAGAGGTTTTTTAGCTGTTCCTTGTTACCAGCTTCACTCAGAAGCTTCTGCTCCTGTTAAAATATCCCCTTTTCCATGGTGAATATGAAGTTATGCAAAGTTCTGAAAATAAAACTGTCACCAGACACTGAATGTTAAATGGTGTCTAGTATTGAGAATGCAGAGTCTAAAAAGCCTAGTATAGTTATGTTTGGAAAATACATAATAATATGACATCTGAGGCCATGAGAAGTACCTGTAGCATGGGTGCTATAGGAAGAAAGATTAAGTATACACCACTCCTGCTGATCATGATCTCCTGAATGATGCAAGTTCCCTTCGAGGTCACAGGGACCCAGCTCCTTAGGCTGACTGGTTTCCCCTGAGATGCAGGCTCAGTAGTTTGGCATTTTGGACACTTTAAAATGCTCAAGAATGGCAGTTCCAGTTCTGGGATGGTTTAGAGCTCTGTCCAAAAGGTGAGAAAAGTTACTGAGAAGCTGAAATTATCAGAGGAAGTGGTACTGGGCAAATTAGTATCAAAGCAATGGTCAGTGCCATCACAGATCTTCCCCTAGTTCAGGGGCAGGCAATTATTTTGAGCAGTGGGCCACTTACCCAGTTTTGGCAGGCTGTCGAGGGCCCCGCTCCTTGACAGGTGCCCCACCCCTTGACAGGTGCCCCGCACCCTGGTCACCATCTTGGGACCAACTTCCCAATGTCTTGGGACCAATGTCCCAGGGCCAGCACTGGTGTGGCCCAAAGCGGGGCACAGGCTGGCAACGGTCTGTGGAGCCGGGTTGGGCTGCACCAGCAGGGAGGGGGGAGCTGGCCTGGCTCCATAGAGCCCCTGCCAGCTGGGACCCTGTGCTCCTGCCACCCTGCTCTGGGCCCCACCAGCACTGGCCCTGGGACACGGGTGCAGGCCCTGTGCTCCCATTGGCTCCCCACTCACACCCAGTGCCCCCCAGCCCTGTGGTACAGGTGGGGGGCAGCACACAGCCCTGACCCCCTGCTTGCTGGCAGGGAAGAAGCTGGTGCTGAGCGTAGGGAAAAGTGGCCCCTTACCTGCCCCATGGCTGGCGCCCCGTGTTACAGGCACTTGCAGCCCACGCGGGGCTATCCGGAGCAGGCACAGGCAGCCCCACGTGGGCTGCGAGTGGCTGCAGTGTTGGGCGCCGGCCACAGGGCAGGGGAGGGTCCGCTTTTCCCTGTGCTTAGCACCAGCTTGTAACCTGCCCCCACTGCCAACCTGGGCCCCACGCCAGCTCTGAGCTCACCCATTGGGGCTGCGCACACCATGCTCAGCACCAGCTTGTAACCCGCCCCATGGGTTACAAGGTTCCCCGGGGCTGGGTTACAAGGTGGTGCTGAGTGCGGGGGAAGAAAGCCTCCCCTCCCCAGCCCATGCCTGGTGCCCCGCGCTGCAGCTGCTTGCAGCCTGCCTGGGGCTGCCTGTGCCTGCTCCAGATAACCCGGGACGGGCTGCTAGCACCTGCAGCGCAGGGCGCTGGCCATGGGATGGGCAAAGGGCCACTTTTTTCTCCGCAGAGAAGGAGCCCAGGGAATAGCTGAGTGCGGGGGGGAAGCGGCCCCTCCCCCGCCCCATGCTGCAGGCACTCGCAGCCTGCGTGGGGCCGTCCAGAGCGGACACAGGCAGCTCCATGTGGGCTGCAAGCAGCTGCAGCGCGGGGTACTGGGCATGGGTCGGAAGGGGCCGCTTCCCCACCCCACACTCCTTCCCTGCCCGGGGTCCCCATCCCCCACCCCTTACCTGAGTTTCCCACGCAGGGGCAGCCACGTGCTCCCAGCCCAGAAACCCCAGCAGAGGCTTCTGGCTGGGGGGCGGGGCCGGGTGGGCCACGCTGTTGTTGGAGCCCGCTGGGCTTCCCCTGGGTCCTACTGCTCTTGGTTCCTGTCATATTTGGCAGGAACCAAGGGCAGAGAAATATTAATTTTCCAGATTTTTTTATGGGCCCCGCGGGCCAGATAGAATTGCCTCACGGGTCGGATCCAGCCTGCGGGCCATATTTTGCCCACCCCTGCCTTAGCTGGTCGCAGAGTAGACACGAGAATAGTACTATCCCTGTCAGAAGGAGCCCAGCAGCCATAAACTTCAGACAGCATAAGATTAGCTCTGTAGTAGTAATAATTGTGTTGGGCAAGCTCCACAATAACAGATTTAACACTACCTTCAGAATGACGACTCCCAAAATTTCTTTGACTCGATGTAAGTTATGGGAAGCAATGCCACAAATCACACCTGCAGCCTGTGGTCCTCTCATGCAGAGAGGACAGCTTAGATACTATCTTAGGACTCTTCAAATGGCAAGAACCTAAAAGTGACATCCCTTGTTAAGAGAATTCACTGCCTAACATTTCAAAGAAGAAACAGGAACCTCCTGTTGCCTCAGAGTCAGAGGCTTCTTCCATTGATTTCTCCATTTAAAAAACGACTTTAACGTGTGCCACTATAGGTGCATTTTGAGAAAGATTTGCAAATACCGTACTTTTACAGGGATAGTCTTTCCATATGCAACAAAGGTATATATGTCTATTATTCAGGGGAAATTTCCACATTGCTCAAAGGGCATGTTTCAAAACGTGGAGATTTTGACCCAGTCATGGCTCCAGCATTGAGGTAGGCTGTCATTTAAAAAAAAAAAAATTATACCAAGCTAACAACAAAAAATAATAAAAATAAAGAAACTAAGTACAGCAACTAAATTAAAAACTATGCAGCAACACTACCATCTAAGGCAACGTTAGGGAACTTTGATTCTGCTACAGTCTGTATGAAGGAATGAAGCAATGGTTGGTCACATCCCCTCCTAAGGACACAAAGGGTGGGAAACACAAAGGCATACATGGCCACTGTCCCCAAAGGACACTTATGGTTATAATATGGTGGACTCCTGCATATGGGGGCGCACACACCAACAGTGAGATCCATATGTACAGATACTCAAGGCAAAAATGATACGCTATTCATCAGAAATTAACTATCCCCCCCCCCATTCTGGCTACATTTGGCCAAATAATTAATATATAATCAGCTTATTGGTAGCATGTTAGCTAAGCTATTTTTAGATATGACTATTTGCTAAACAGCCACTAGATTATATTTCAACACCTATCAAAATAAATTGCTTAAATCTGAACAGATTTCTTTGAAAATGCATAAATGATTCAATATGTATTTTGACTGAAATCCTCTCAAAAAGCTTCATGAAGATTATTGCACTGGATTAGATGTACCAATCCTCACCTTCACACGTTTCCAAAGTGTGTGGCAAGTTAACTAGTACTCAGAAACTGGTAGCCAGTGTCACTCAATGCTGTAGATATTGGGCAGGATGGTGAAAAAAATAGCTAAGGATACTGTTGGATAAATTTATCCCAACACAGAGACCAAAAATTCTCCTGTGTTGAATGCACTGATCCAGGCTCAATTCCCACACCAGATCTGGGCTGAACCCTGGCTCTGCCAGATTTCCTTTATGCCCTTGGACAAGTCACTCAATCATTCTGGCTATCTGTCTCAGTTCACCATCGATATAATGGGAATACTACTACTACTGCTTTTCTTCCACCCTTTGCATTTTCCAAAACATGTATACTTAACTACTATCAAGTAATCCTACTAAAATCATTGGACCTACGCGCATGGTTTACAAATTAGCAACATCCAGACCTTAGATGCTAAGGTTTTCATGTCAGGGACTATCTATATATACTCAGTGCCAAGACAAAAGGGCACTAACAACTGTTGACACTTCTTGGTAACATAATACTACTTCCCATAATGCTAATACAAAGGCAACATTTAAGGTTCAAGAAAAAACAGGAACTTTTTTTCATCTTTAAATAAAGGTCAAGTCATCCCTCTAACAAAAACACAGGAACCAAAAACCATTAGCTTATTTTCTTTTCCATACGCTGAACACTCTTCCTCATTACTGTATGTGGAACACCTCCTCTGCCCTTTATTTGAAAGAGAGCTAGGAAGATAGATAAGAGGATGGGGAAATTCTACTTAATGGATCACAGTGTCTGAAAAATATATGTGGAATTAAAAATGTTTTACAAAATGATAGGTAAGGAAATATTTTCTTTGTGCAACCTTTACTCCTATTTGTCATAGCAATTAACAAACACACGCACAATTTAATACCAACTGTACACTGCTGGGTTTTTTTTAAGGCATTCTCTTTCTAACGAATGTTAGGAGCAAAACAAATGTTAAACAAACTACTATAGATCAGTCATGTCACCACCTTACACTTCTAAATAATGTGAAGACAAACTGTCTGTAATAAGGAAAAACACTGCCCAGGATAATTATATATGAATAAAATGCTGATGAACTCAGGGTAATATAGTTTTTGTATAAAGTACAGTCATGACATTTATACCTTAGTTACCTTTTAGTTTTCTTGTAGCTTTCCAGCTGTAGTGCCTGTATATGTTTATACCTTTCCAACTCACATTGTCCACACAGGTCTTCAAGACACAATAGATGGTTCTCCATTTCCTCAAAGTTTGCCTCTAGCTGGGCTGCAAAAAGAAACCCCAACAAACAAACATTAAATAAGCATCATTAGACATATAATTACAAACAAATAGACAACCTCCCCTCGTCCCACAATGATAAGGCATAGAGAGATTTAAGTTACTTAAACTATTACAGACATTTGCACATACTGGCTGCATCTACACGAGCAAGGACTTTTGTTTCCCCAGGGACAAGTAGCAGCAGCACACTTTGTACTACTGCTGCTTGTCCCCAGGGGATGCCCATGCCACATGCCCTCTGGCGTGAGGCAGGTTACCCCGAATTGGGTAGGGCAGGCTGGGGCCAGCAACTGTGCTGTGGCATCCTGGCTGAGAATCACTGTTCCACAGAAACTCTATTTGAATAGACAGTCAAGCTTAGCATTTAACTTGGGGGAAACATTGAGAGCTTAAGGAAATTAAATAAGTCAACTAGACTTAAGAACTCAAAGGGTTAAATACAGAACAGAACGGAATTACTTTTAGACAGGAGTGAAAGTATTATTTGTACCTCGTATCAAGAGAGGGGAAAATGTTAGAGAGACTTTCTTGAATGGAGTAGACACCTAAGGAAAGATAGTAAGACTAAGCAGTGATATTATAAGGAGTCAGGGGGCAGAGGAAGGATTGGTCCTTAAGGACAGATATCTTTGAGGCATCAGAAAAAGCAGAAGTAAAAGGAAAATGGCCAAAAGACATATGCATTAAGTTGGAAATAAAACTAAATACCAAAAGGTTCTTTAGTCATATAAATTTTAAAAAACCAGGAGAGAGGTGACAAAGTAACTATGCACTTAAAATGGTAGTGGAGATCAATTAAATTTTAAGTACTAATGATTAATTTGTCTCAGTCTTCAATAAGGACAAAAATGCAGAATACCTAATGAGAATGATGATAAAAAATAATGGAAATTACCATGAAGAATAATGGAAATTAGATGGAAGAAAGAATTTAGATTGCTTACTGTAACAAAATCAGGGGTCTAGGATAATCTATCAGAATATAGAAAAAAGTGATACATTAAGTAGTATGGAGATGGGGCCTTCAGACAACTACAGGCCAATTACCTTATCTTCAATACCATTCAGGGGGCTAGAATTAGAAAGAACAATCAAGAATATGGAAATAAACAGAAAGTGGGACAAAAATACTAAGTTTTACCCATAGATCATGTCAGATCAATCTAATATCCTTCCATGATAAGAGAACTGACTTTAATATTAAAGGCAATAAAATGGACCTAATCTATCTACATTTATGCAAAACACTTGAAGTGAAATGTGAAATTATTAGCCAACTGGGAAAGATGAGGATTAATACTATTACCACAAGATGGATAATGAATTGCTTAAAAAGGTAAAATACACAGCTGCCAATATGGAAGAATATCAGATCGTTACACAGGAAGAATTAGATAACCTTGCTGAATGGTGCAAAAGAATTAGTAGGAATAACAGAAGAAAAAGAAGAGTCATGCACTCTGGAACTGAAACCAAGAAGTTTGCTGTAAGATGGGTATTCAAAGTTTGGAGGCAAGAAAAAGAAAGAGAGACCTGAGTGTACCAGATGACTCTATGATGATCTTGAGTCATCAGGATAATGCTGGTTCCAGCTACAGCTGTGCGAAGCTTTGGTTGCCAATTCGATCCGTAGAAGATTCAGCCTGATTCAGTGGCTGAATCATCAAATCCAAATCGAATTGGGAGACCCATAAAAAGCTCTGAATTGATTTGAAGCATCTGAATCGATTAGGAAAAAGATTCAGTGATTTGAAAAAGGCAGTCTTGTGGGGAAACAGATACTGAGAAGGGGGGAGGGGAAGGAGGAGGAAAAAAGACTGCTTTGATACTGACATCTGTAGCTGGCCAGTGACTGATCTTTCCCTGAGCTCCCTTCCAATCACAGTGCTGGGGAGAGGGGGATGTAGAAACAGTACGTAAGGCTCCGTGTGAAGCCTTTTTGTCCCTTTTGTGAGCTTTTTGTCTGGAAGTAACAGAATGTGAAAGGTACTGGCTGCAGTGGCTGGCTTCCTAGTCAGCTGCTTCACTCTTTTGCTAGTCTCTCTATCTAATCTCTTCTATCTAGTAAACAGATAGAAGACACAGGTTTCCCTTGCTTTATGCTGTATATGTGTTCCTGGAAAATGGCGCATAACTCAAATTCATAAAAGGGAATCCACTTTACAATGTTTCAAATAGGGATATATTCCAAGACCTTGAATGTAGTGCCACCCCCCCCAGACCCATTTCTACCACTTTTACAAGGCAATTTTGGTACTCACCAACAGCTGAGAGTACACACTATCATAGTGGGGATGGCAACAACAGAAACATGTCACAGACAACAAGCAAGGAGCATAGATTCACACAGGAGACTATATTTTGGTGCGTATCACTCCCACAATGCACCGCACAAAGTAGCTGACTGCGGTCTTCCACCACACCGATAGCGTAAGAGTGAATTTACCTCTCACATAACGAATTTTTGGTATAAAACAGATCATTGCATAAGCGTAAGAGCGAATTCGCACATACAGAACCCATATAAAGTGAAGGAAACCTGTATAGTAAACTTTACATACCTGACGCTGGAAAGGCTGGTGGAGCAACAGAAGGACGTCCATGAGATGGCCTTGCTCAGGGAGATTGGGATCAATGACCCACTTAACAAAACAGAGTGGGATACCAGCTCCCAGATCTTGGTGGTCCTCAAGCCATTCCTCGAGGCCACCATCAGCACTGGCGATGCCTTACTCAGCCAGGTGATCCCCATAGTGAGGAAACTTGAGAACCAAATGCAGAAGTTCCAAGGGACCGATGTTCCTGGCTGGGGCAAGCTGCTGTCACCAAAGGTGCAGGCACTGGTGAAGCTGAGGAAGGGCATCAAGAAACACCACCAAAACCCTGGATCACTGGACAGAGGTGCTGGTGAACAGAATCCGGGAAACAGAAGGGCACAGGCAGGGGGATGTGCAAGAGGGGGATTCACTTTCCCATGCCAGCACTCCGAGCAGCAGCTAGTCTCCTCCATGGCAGGTGCTGCCAATGTGGGCCCAGAGCATGGCTTCAATGGTGGGGTCCAGAGGGACCAGACCCCAGCATCAGGCAGGTAGCACCGAAGCCTCGGTGGCTACCTATCTCACCGAGGACATGGAGCTGCTGGACTGTGACCCCTTGGCCTATTGGGCAACCTGCAGCCAGACATGGCAGGATCTGGCCACGGTTGCCCGGGAACACCTGTCCTGTCCACCAACCAGTGTTCCAATCAAGAGGGTGTTCAGCATTGCTGGGCATGTTGTGACACCACACCACACCTCCTTGGATCCTGGTTTGGTGGAGCAGCTGGTGTGCCTCAAGGCGAACCTCCCGCTGCTAGGGTTCCCCAAACTCCACGTGCAGACGAAGTGAGTGCCACCCTCCTCACTCTGTCCGCACCTATTTCCTTTTTTAAATTTTTTTTTTAAACCACTTAATGCCCCTCTCTCAGAGCTGGAGGTGGCACAAAGGATTAGGTCACCATTGGGACATGGCAGTGCCAAGCATTTCCCTCTTCCATCTTCCTTGCTCATACCTACACTTACCCATGCTACAGAGGAGCCAGGTATCCACAGCAAGGGAAACGCAGGCAGCTTGAGCTCTGCAGGTGGCAGGGAGAGGGACCAGAAATTTGCAGCCAGAAGCAGGGAGCTAGGTCAACAGCTATGGCCCAGGGCAGCAAACCATTGCTGGTCCCTGTTCTTAGATGTTTTAGGGCATTTTTAATAGAGACAGAGAAATATTGGTACCATTCTATACGGCCCCATTTTGGTATTTGCAGACCTAGCTGTCTGTGTTCGGAAAAAAAGATTAAACTGACAGGCACAAGGAAGGGCTACTAGGATTATTAATTGGTGGGGGGGAACCTATTTTATAAATCAAATAAAGTAAGATGGCCTTATTGCTTAGTAAAATGGAAGGTCAAAAGGGCATATAGTCACTTTATTCATATACTTTCACTAGATGAATGCCAGAGCAGGAGAAGTTAAGCAACATCATCGTAAGACCAAATGGATACAAACGGAGTCACAAGCAAAGTTAGACTGTATATTAGAAAAAGATTTCTAACAATCAGAGAAGTGAACTTCTAGAACTGGGGCAAAGAACCTGAAATAATTCAAGATAGAGATTGAAAGACTTGTGGAAGAGATAGTATGATAAGGTTCATGGTGCTACAATCACTGCAAGTAATATGCAGACTCTCATGTTTTGTTTTCCACACAATGGAATACCAGATACCAACTCTCAAGCTGGAAATAGGGCAAGGCCACTACAGAGCACCCCACTATGGCCATTCTCAAGTCCTCTGTCTCTAGCATGCCTAAGAGCCACAGAGGGTTAACCAAGACTTACAAGGACCACCTGGATGTATTTCTAGGACATCGGTGGTGGTATGCAGGCTGGGCATGCTTGAGAACCTGGGACACAGCTGCCATAGTGTAAATGTACACTCTGTAACTTATGAAGTCAGGCCCTACTCTGTCTTGCTATATACAGAGAAAGAGGAAGATATAGGATTACTTGAAAGGCTTTCATTCCACTTCAAAACAGGAATTAGACCAATTATATATTTTTAAAGTAAGGGTTGTTTCATTTTTCTGTGACTGAAGCACACTGAAGTTAATATATCAAGTCAATTCTATGGACTTGATAAATTTAGTAGATCTGCTGAGCTACTTACTGTTTTAAATATATCCTGCAGGATACTTCCATGAAGTTGCATTCAATAGGATTCAGAATGTCAGACTAACTACTTTTAATGCTGTACAAAACCGATTTTGGTCAGAAGCTTAATTCAAGCAATATATACTATTAACACCTTACTAAAAAAAAAATTATACACAAAGCCCTTTGGTTGAAGGAAAGCTTTTATTCGTCTAGTTTTACCTCTTGCGTAAGACTGATAACATTATTTTTTAGATTAAAAGACCATTACTTAAAGTTGCTTTATTCTGGGAATCACTGAA